GCTATCCCAGTAACAGCAATTCGACTGAGGTGACAGCATTGGCAGTCGTTTCGGGGGTAGGCCAAAAACTACAGGCGACAATGATTTGTTGATTCGTGATCATGCGTCAAACGTCTTTTCATCAAATCAAGATCAGACGCAAGGCTACCGTATGATGATTGCTTGAAGCTAATTGTCGTTTACAGTAAACTAGATTTATGCTGCTGCTTTAAACTCATGTGTAATATAAAAATCATTATAGGAGGATGTTTGACGACTCGATACATGAAGTAAGTTTTGGGGAACACTGTCTCTATCGCTCTTTGGAGAACGCATCGCAAAATGGTTTCATCACTGAATGTGATCTAAAGTGTCTAATTCTGGGTCCGTTGGTAAAATTGGAGATTCCTTGCCCATTCGCTGTAGAGGGCATCAGACAGCAGAGGTACCAGCACTTCGTTACAAAGGCCTTTCGATTGTGGGGCGCTGTACCACAGTGCATTAGAGGTCGGTTTTGAACCCAAATTCCTTGAGCGGAAAATATTTGTATAATTATTTTCCTTCCACGAATTCCCTTCAGGAAGGAATTTAACATAAGTTGCTTCAGATTTGGGTTAGACGTCAGTAGAGCGTCAGACTAAAGTCGGAAGATCATGATTGGACCCCCCTCCCCGTATGGACTATTTGTCTTTCTTCCTTGCGAGGTTGATAAATAAGTGCCACTCCAACAAATGATCAGGAAAGAGACATGAGTATAGAGATTATGCCTTTCGCATGGCTGCTGTCGATTTTGCCTATAAAGATGAGCCACTCCTGGATGATGAAATAGATATGAAGATTAGCGTAATATCGTTTAACCTCAGGAGAACGAGAGTGGCGTAAGTGTAAAGAAGACTGATATTCAAACGGGAATATACTTTTCACCCTTATATTTCGTTTCGATGACATCATCAGGATACAACCGGTCATCAGGCGATTAACGGCCTCAGCGCATGACATATCTATTGCTTCGAAACCTCAGCAGTGAGTCAGAAGGGCCGGTATTTTTCATTGTATTTCTACAATTAACCTGCTTGACAAAATATTGTGCAGACGACGATGTTAACATGGCCCGCATCTTAGACGAAAGACAACAAAATCAATGCGCTTTGAACGGGCATGATCTTCAAAACATGACTCTAAAACACTGTATAAAATTGAGCATCGTTTTGTCCTCTGCGGAAGATAGGATGACATCCATCGATGCTTTTCTTGCAGTGCTGGAAAATGTTCAAAATGTGATGAGAAAAAATAAAGCAACGGCCAGTGGAAGGAAAAAACATAACATGAATACACAAGAAAGCTTAGCAAAGAAGCATCTTTTTTATTAAATATTTTAGCCAAAGCAGAAGGCCCTTTGGAAGAAAATATCAAATATCCAAAGCAGCATTTCTTCCATATCAATATCGCTTCGACCAACAACCAAAAAGTCGATGACAACTGAAACAGGATTATGGATACAAATTTTTAGCCAGCACTCAAATCAAACGATACCAAAAATTTCCCAAAATGGCCCAGGTCAAACATTCGCAGGAGAATTAATATCCGTAACGTCCTACTCGCGCTAACCTGCCTTCTCCAGCCTGATAACCCGTCATCTTTCTCAAACTGCCGCCTGGAACCGATGCCAACATAGATGCAGCACTAGCAATCCACTTGCGGTGTTCAACGACGTTATTAATCAAGTAGTGCCATCGGCTTGACGCAACAATTATTCCGTACAGGAACGCCGCTTTATCGTCACCGAATACGATTGACATTCCTGGATAGATCTATAAACAGAAAAATAAAATTATTATTTTTAATCTTTTACTATGTCTGAGGCACTGATCCTCGGAAATATCATCAATCCATAATGGAAACAGTTTTAATACGTTGTTCTGATTATCACACTGGTTGTCAGCGATCTGGTGGGTCAATGCCAATTGCAGCCACAGCAGATACTCGCATAAGGAAGCAAGACAGCACCTTCGCCCACTCTGGAATGCCGTTGCATCAGAATGCTTCATCATCCCTGTTGCTTGCAAGTTGAAAACTATTTTTCGATTCGTTGCTTCGAAGCAACATGGAGTGTCTTCCGTCCTCAAGATGTTTAGGGGTTAAGATAAATTTTTTCTCCTTCCGGGATTTGAAATTGGCATCTCTTGAATTCTGCAACTAACCTATTACTACTGTGCAGCCATTCCGTTACTCCACCATCCCAACAAGCCATTTCATGACTCCGCTGTTTTTCTAGCAGCACTGCATAAATTTGCCTAGCTCACATACTCCACGAACTCATTAGCCAGAATGTATGGCTATACAATAGTCATGGACAGACCGTTCACGTGGTATTCAGTGCGAGATGTTGAATTCTCAAAACACATATAACAACATCTATGGCGCTGTGCTCTCTTCGGTGTCGACGATTCCTCTCAGATGGATTGGAGATCTAATGGCAGTTCCAGAAGGTACGTTCAATGACCACAGTTTTTTACAAAACTGAAAAACGCTTTGAGGCGTTTGCTATCCAGAAACAACCATGCAAGATATAAATTTTTAAAAATTATGGGCTTCACCGAAGTCACCTAATTCAGTCGACTATTAGGGGTAAATTGCACTCGTTACGCGCATGCCTCGTACAGAGAGGCCGTAAATCTCGCATATACTTTCATAACCTTTTCCTTTCTGCTCACAGGTGTATCGGTTTATCGGCAGGATGGCAAGTTACTCCTAAGTACAGTAGTACGATTGTTTGATTATGATACACTAACAGTTAATAAGAGAACCTTTACACCGCATTGCTATGTCAAATTCTCACTTCTGAGCTGCATAAAAAGGTACATATTGATTGTGAGTGCGCATGTCCTCTCTTCTGCATAAGCTCGATGAAACCGAATCTTTCATAACTCTTAGTTCTCAATTTAATGCCATATCTGCTGTTGATAATTAAGGTTTTCTGATGGAAATACACGGGATTTATTGCTGTCAGTCACTTTAAGTGAATGATTGCATTCGAGTTGCACTGATCGCTCTTGACGAAAACCAATGATTTTCGAGGTACCGCCTACGCCTAGCTCCTGACAGTAAATTGCGCATAGTCATAGGGTATCGAAATTGTTCGGTCTGCTAAAGTTTGTGATACGGTAGATTACTGCTGATAATCTATGATGCAACAGCTTGAATTCATATTGAGTACTGAATGTTCAAAGATTAAGTTTCAAAATGCCAAAAATTTGATTCCCTGTTTAATCAATAGGATTTATAGACCTGCAAACGAGGGAAGAGGGGAGAGAGTTTCGATCGATGAATAACTTAATTATTCACTTTATCTTTCACTTATTCGTTAATTTACTAATTCAAATGCCGGGGTAGCTCAGTCGGTAAGGCGCCAGATCGGTAACAATAAATTCGTGATTTGCCCTTC